GTTGCTAAACAGTGCTTACACAGCATCAAGTCTTTCTTTCATCCCCACAAAGCAAGTAAACTGCGGATGGGCAAGACTTGGGAGGGCACATAGCCAGGAGAGCTGATGCCAGCTGACCAAAGGAATGGCCCCTACTGTATAACATCAGGTTCAGCAATAAAAGTTTAGGAAAAAGGAGAAGGACGTGGGCTGTTCATAGTTATGGCACTTGCCTTCTCAAGCAACTGTTACTTGTGCTAAGGCCCTGCTTCCCAGGAGGAGAATACTGAACACCTGCCTGCTGTTGGGAAGCAGTAAATAAATTCCCTTTTCCTTTGCTTTCACACTCAGTTTTTGCTTTCCTTATTAAGCTGTCATTAACTTGATGTACAAGTCTTTTCATCTTCTTTCTTTTTTCTCCCCATCACAGAGGAGAGAGAGGGGTGAGGAAGAGGTTGAGTGGGTATTGAGCTGCTGGCCAGCATCAGCCCACCACAGGATCCCATGTAATAGTGTGACCCATCTGACATTTCTCTTAGACTAGGCATATGCATCTCTTCAGCACAGCAAAGCAGAGATCTAAAGAAGATACCTTGTCATTTTCTGCTGCCCATAGCATGTGGTACAGAATGATTTTTAAACAAAAAAGAAAAAAAAAATGGAAAAAATCAGACAGCTCACTCTCATCCCTGTAAGCTCTTCAAAATGGACAAAGTTGACAACTGCTGTGCAGTAATATGCACATTTTACTGTCTCCCAAAGAAAACTAGAGTTGTCAGAGATGCAGGAGCAGCCTTTGCCCTACGAACTATCCACACCATCTGCACATTTCCTTCTCAAACAGAGCATTGTTTTCCTTACAAGAAACAACATCTTTCAAAAAACCTTCAACATATAGCCCAATGGTTATATTTCCGAGTAGCTATATGCATTTTCCTGTATTAAACAGACTGTCCCACCAGGCTCCCTCTCTTTTAACACCTGATGGTTTCACTTCCTGATAAGATACAGTAGTTCGTTATAGGAGAGAAACATTTGGCCAGAAACCTCAACTCCAACATATAATAGGGCACATGAGATATGAGATACCTGCCTTCACATTCCCTAAGGACTCACAACAATCCTGACATAACATTTTCTATGTGCAGTCAACTTGCTGTTATTATCTGAAAACCAAAACTCTCAGATTTCTAGCCATTCATGTTTGGAGAAACATGAAAATTCCCAGAACAGCCAAGTCTCCATGTGTTTTAATTAAAACCTTTCATCATCTTTCTCCGATTCTTGCTCCCCCCCCCCCCCACCTTAAAACAACAAAAAAAAGTGAAGATAATATTCCAAGTCTCACCTAAATGCCAACTAAGAAGCTTGGTTAGTTTCAGATTCTGCTTTTTCCCTTGTTTGCTGACACTAAAGCTCAAATTGATAGCTTCTAGCACTTATTACAAGTTCCAAGCAGCTTTTGCAAGTAACATCTTATGCATAGCATATAGCCTTTATCTAGCCAATCTGTTCTCTACCAGTTCCAATTAAATTCTTATCTATATTCTTACAAGGAAAAAGAAAATCCTGTGAGTTATACCACATGGAGATATGCTCTAGACAAAGTTGGCTGTGCTACGACATTCCAAGATTAACCCATACCACATAGAATCATAGAATAGTTAGGGTTGGAAAGGACCTTAAGATCATCTAGTTCCAACCCCCCTGCCATGGAGGTTGGAACACCTCACACTAAACCATGTCACCCAAGGCTCTGTCCAACCTGGCCTCGGACACTGCCAGGGATGGAGCGTTCACAGCTTCTTTGGGCAACCCATTCCAGTGCCTCACCACCCTCACAGTAAAGAACTTCCTCCTTATATCTAACCTGAACTTCCCCTATTAGAGTTTAAACCCATTTCCCCTTGTCCTATCACTACAGTCCCTTATGAAGAGTCCCTCCCCAGCATCCTTGTACACCTCCTTCAGACAGTGGAGGGCTGCTATGACATCTTCTGTGCTGTGCAGGTACTGCCCTGTGGTACTCCTCTTTTAACAACTCATACAGACAGTTGGGTATACCAGTGAGATAGGTCTACGTGGACTGCAATCATGTTACATGATGAGGAAGTTATCTGTATACATGGCACCATGATAGAATTGCATCTTAAAATTCAAAAGGCATCATAAGCCTTTGGCAGTCTTATCTTCTCTGTTGTTTCCTTTTCTCCATAAAAAAATAGAAAAGTAAAACAACAAAATACTAAAAAGAATCCAATAAACTTGTTCTTTTTGGTTCCTCAGGGCAAAATCATCTGCTCCTACATCATTCTTCACAGATATTTACCTACATTTTCTAAAAGATTTCCACTCACAGAAACTCACCTACTTCTCCAGGCAATCACTATCCTTATCACTACAAATTATTCCTGAATATCCACTCTATTGTCTCACATACTGCAATTAGAGCCAGTTAGGATTATACTAGATACAATTATCTTCTGATTAGTCTTCTCTGTACCAGAGCTTTTTATATATTTGAGGATCCTTATTAAATCTTTCTCCCTCTGAAATCCTCCATTCTTCAGGAAACAGCAAAAAAAAAAACAAAAAAAAACCAAAACAAACACCACAATTCAGTCAAGCTCTCCTTACCATTAGATTTTCCAGACTTTTGACCATTCCCTTGTTCACTTTGGATTCTCCCCAGTGAGCTCACATCCTATTAGAAAGGCACAGCCCTAAATCAGATCCAGTGCTCCAGCTGATGCCTTATCAGCATTGAGTGAAATAGGATTACTTCATGTGTCTTGTCAGCTACATTCCTGTTGTATGTCCCGGGCTGGTAATTTTATTTATTTATTTATTTTAAACAGCATTCCCAAATCATGTTCACACCTGCCAGGCTTTTTCCTGAAGAAGTATTTCCCAGCTACTTACTCATACAAACTGATGACTTGGTGACATTCTTTGCTGAAGTAACACAACTAAAGGGCAAACTATCTCTGGTCAAAGCCTTGATGGAGAGGTATTGGAGAGCTCCAAAGTGTTACTTTTGTGTGCCCTGAGTGGTTCTGGATTAGGTTTGGTTTTTGGGGTTTTTTTTTGGTTTTTTTTTTTTTTGCTTTCTTTTGTTTGGCTCATTGTTGTGTTTTAGTGGTTTTGTTGTTGTTTTGTTTTGAACAAAGCTGGTGGACAGAAGACAGATCATCCCATCCAGTAAGGACTCTTGCTGACTACAACATATTTTCATATCCACCATGTGGTCAGTCACTAACACGAGGGCATGGGCACTGTGTCTCTCAGCTCATCTTTGGTGGCTACGTTCCCTGTGCTCTGACAGAGCTATTTTTTGCTGACCGTCTGTATACAAGTTGCTCTTCCTTTGTACAATCCTTTTACTTGCACCGTAAATGAACATATGACCCAACAGAATTATCATACATGGTTTTAAAGTGCTAGTCCAGTGGTGCCAAGCTTCCTAGATCTGAAAAGATGGTCCTTTTTATTTAGACTGACCAACATAATTTAGTCTGACCAACATGATCTGAAGTGATAGTCCTCTTCATTTATACTGACCAACATAGCTACTGTGTATTTGTACTACCACTAATGGACTTTTATTGTTTAAGAACTCCATGGGTTGATGACCTGGAGATCTAAGATAAAATTTGGTTTTCATGGCCATTCCTGAATTTCAATGCACAGGACCAATGCAGAGGAGAGACAGAAGCCTAAGGAGAGAGCCCTTTTGTCTGTAAACACAAAGTCAGAACTGGTTCACAGGACCAATTGATGCTTACAACCAAAGCTGCTGGATTGTCTCAAGTTAATACAAGGTCATTCCACTCACCTCTGTAGGGTTTAGGCTGAGCCTGTGCTTACCAATGCACCTCCAGGGCTCCAGTTCTGCCTGTAGCTTTGACTCCTCTGTAAGTTTTGCACCTCTATTGCTGGACACTCTACACACCTGGGTCTTAGGTGGAGACTTCACAGCATTTTTCAGTTAGAGAAGTTTAACATCTCTAGGTATTATCAGGCTGGTCTTGCAGGGCAGAAGCTTTTGAACATCATTAAAGATGCTCAAGAACAAATGGCTTCAAGAGATTTTTCAGACAGCCCTGCTCAATAGATTTGAGTTGCAGAAGATGACAGCATAGTTTACCAGCATGAAAATGGGGGGGGGGGGGGGGGGGGGGGGGGAACGACACACGACTTATTTCATAACAGGAAAACTTGTTTGTTCTTAGGCGGCCTTCCTGTGTCAGAATGGATACCAGAAAGTCTTTTTCTTTTCAAGAGAGCTGTGCCATGAAACCAAAAGAATCCTCCCTGTTTATCAAGCCGCAGAAAATAACCAATGACTTCAAATACTTCTTTAATCTCTACCATACCTACAGAAGGCTTTTCTTTTTACACATTTCAGCTGGTTTATTGCATAAATATTATGTTAGTAGTCATTCTTCAGTGTGTAGGTGGGATTGCCAGTAGGCAGAGACAGTGATAAATGAGCCTCCAGGTGTTGCTGCTCTTTTTAGAAAACCCTTTAACAAGCAGTTATGAAGATTGAGGTCATTTTGCAAACTTGTAAGAGTTACAGTAAGTTGTTTCACAGACACTTCTTTTTTAAAGAGTTGCTGTCAAAGTTGGTGATCCCAGAGTGGGTTGTATCTTTCTACCTCATGTTGTTTACAAAACCTAGATAACTATTTATATGCATTTAGTTTTAAGGATCCATTAAAGAGGTCAGGGCTGGGGATTATTGGAGCAATGTTTTCACTAATTTATTTTCTGGCTACAAGAAAGCAAATCTTGCAGTCTTGAACCCTCCAACAACCATTCTGCACACCTGATGACAGCAAGCAGATGATAATCTATTTTGTTAAGGTAATTATTGTAAACACCAAGAAGCCAGGAGAGAGGCTGCACAGCTCAAGAGATAAGAGTCTAAAGCCGTTCTCCTTCAGACTGAAGATCCTACCAACAACCAGGCTGAACAGGTTCATTCAAGTATCCAACCTACACGAAAGCGTCCTTACCACCATCAGCATCCATCAAACCTAGTAGTAACTGGCTTGCTGATTGACAAGGCTCCACTGGGAAAGAGAGGACTAAGCCCAATCACCTGGCAGGGAGGAGCGGCGGGCTCTGTCAGTCCCAACACAGGCACCAGGGCTGAACTGAAGCTCTTCTCATTGCAGTGGTTCTGCAGACAGAAGATTGCTGGCAGCTTTCCTGCATATCAAATGGATGCAAACTATTCTGTGAAGCACACCAAAAGAAAGGGAGGAAAAACAGTACTTCAAAGCTTGTTCAAAGCACTGTGCTACTGTCCTTATCAACACCATCCTTTGGCATGAGGAAAGGTGCTGAGAGTGGGTAATTCCAGGCAACCACCACCCAAAATACCATTCTGAATTCCAAACGCTCCTGTGACAGCACTTGGAATCAGGTAGCAAAGAGGAGAGGTCTTTCACAGGCAGGATTAGCACTGAAGGCCTCATTTCTCAGGGTGGAATAAAAGCCATATTGAAGGAGCAGAGCTGTGGAAAACCGTTTGGCATTTCATAACCAAGTCCCCCACCTTCACACTTAAGTAATATTTTATCGTCTAGCATCATGTCTTGGCACAGAATTCCACAGGCTGAGACTCTTTTGTAATTCTTGTGCTCTACAATGTTTTTGACCCCCCCAAAGACACCTCTGTCCAAAGGTGGAACACAAACAAGCTCCATTCTGAGTCATAAAAACATAACACATGCGTAAGTGCACGCAATAATCTTGGTATAATTTGCCCCTTAGTCATTGTCTAGTCCTATTATGTAAATCTGAAACATGCATTTTTGAAAATAAAGGGTTTCAGTAAAATAATTACTGTTGTAATCCTGGAACCACACCTAATAAACAGTTTAGCAATCAACTGGCTCCATATATTTGAAAGCTATAAACAGTAAGGGCCAAAATCTCAGCTGCTGGTGTAAATTAGTACAGTTTGACTAAATCAAATTAGCAGTTTGATTGACTTCAATTAAGCTACACTAATTTACAGTAGGCTGTCATCTTTTCTTTATGTGTATGCATTTCAGAGCATGTGTATGTGTATATGACTTTTTTCTGTACTCTAGGGAGATGGCGATCTTTAGCACAATAATCTTATTCCTCTCTGCATATGTTGATTTGTGAAACCTAAGTACGGCTTTTGGCACTATGAGGAGAGGAACTGAAGGACCACCAGAAAAGAAAGAACTGATGATTACAATCCAATAATTTCAACAAACTCCCATTCGTTTTCTTAATAAGAAATTTGCTTGACTATAGGAGACAGCCTGAGACTGCCCTTAGCAAGCTCCATTTCAAGCAGTCCTAGAAATTATTATCCATTTACAGTTTTTGCACAATTTGGAATAATAGCTGATTTTTTTTAAAAGCAATTTTGCTGCCTTCACTATTTTCTACAACAGATCTCTACCTGACTTTTTATGCATCTCCTTCATCCATGACATGACTTTGTTTCTATTGTAAGACTAAATCTTATTTCAACCATTTTTAACAGCATAAAGTCTGGTCATTAGAAAGATCAGATGACCGAGACCTCCTTCTCCTTTTCAAAAAGGAGCCACTTATTGCACTTTCATTCTAAGCTTTAGGAAACATGTGGATCCTTACCATTATCCTGAGGTTGCAGGCTGGATAACTGGGGCCCAGAGTTAAATGATGTGCTCAGGCCAAGGAGCAGGAGAGCTAAGAATTCATATTAAGAAAAACTCTTGTGCACTAGCCGCAAACCAAAGCCACGATTTTCCCTCAGATCATACTTAGCCCATTACATTGACAAAATAAAAACGTAATTCCACTGTAATTGCTTGCTGGTATTCTGTCAGGACTTTTATCACAGGTACAGGAACCCAAGGAGGAAGTGAAAGTGGGGGGAAAAGGTTGAGGTCTGAAACATACATTGTATCTAGGTGACATGTGGGAGAGTCTCCTTCTAAATGTCTTTTATTAGAAAAGCAACAATATTGCTAATGAAAAAAACACATAAGGAGATAAAACAAATCCCACATGGCTAACAAAAGCAGAATCAGAGTGAGAAAATGAAACTTTGATCTAATTTTTTCCAAAGCCGTTCAGAAAAATTGCTTGCATGTATGTAATTTGGAAGGAGAGAATGTAAAGGCACCTAGAGGAATTTTGTTATTGAGAACTACAAGGATGAAGGCACACCTCTCCTTTGGGGTTTAGGACAAGAACACGGGTGGAAGTGGTAGAGCAATAAAACTGCCAGCATGGCCAGACCATTGCTGCCACTCTTCCAGCAGACACAAAGGAACACATCTGCTATCTTGGATTTCCACTGCACAAGCACAACACCCTCCTGAACACCAACCAAGATGCACAAACACTGTAGCTAGCAGCAAACAGGGAAAGCAGCTGCCCTTGGGAGGAAGCAGGCATCCTGATGAGGAGAGCCAGGCTTGCCCCTGCTCACACTCTGGAGGCTGGTGCCAGTGGCCATACGCATCCTGGATCCAACTTGGATTTCATTTTTCTGGAAGATGCAGCTAACCAGAGCTATGGCTCTTAACACAATTCACAAGGTCAGAAAGAAACAACCCCTTCTATACTGAAGGGGAGCCAAAACCAGAGACTGGGTCCAGCAGCTGCCGTTTGTTACTGCGTTACTATTGATCACATTTCTGAGTCTAAACAACATATGCCACTAACGTGCCAGCGCACAGAAAGAGCTTGGTTCAGTAGACTTAATCTCTCTGGTTCATTTCACCTCTTTGATCTGTCAGAAACACACTGGTTTGACTGCAATGCCCAAATAATATCTGCCATCTTGAAGCATGTGGAGGAACATGTCTCTTTCTCATCACTTTTTCTTTACAGACATAAGCCTAAGGAGGGGTTTACCTTACAATGTCTGTCATTTCATGATTGCTGTTGAGTAACAAGTAACAAACGTGAAAAGCTTTAGTTGTGAGCACAGCATAGGGCTTTGACCCAAAGAAAAGATTGTTCTGTATGTTCTTGCTACTGCAATATTTCCATGCTTTTAAAAGCATGTGGCAGGACAATGAGGAAAACATTGTCTTCTGCTTGCCCACATTTAATATTATCTTTCAAAGCTTGGGGCATACTGCATTATTGACTAATAGCATTAAAGCAAGCACTAACATTAAAAGAAAAAAAAATCATTCATATATTTTGATAAAAACCTGATTTCCATATGATCTTTCACTTGGTTTATGCTATCTGTCACAAATCCTAACAAGTTTAAGGGTGGGAGTATTTGCAAAAACAGACAGTCCTTATGCAAAGCATAGTAACTGCTTAAGGAATAATACCTCTGAATAAATATACATGATAGCACATTCTTTAGTCTGTGAACATAGCTGAACCGTAAGACTGCACATAAATGGTCAAACTTTGACCAGGTATGTCACATTTAGTTGACACTACAAAGCTGTCTGCCACTTCATAGGTAAAGGATTTCCAAGGTCCTTTAGCACTACACTTGAGGCTAAGATTTCTTGTCTGTCTTCTTTTTTCTTCTCCACACAGCTTCAGGTTTTAAAAAGCAACATAAAAAACCACGTTGCTGAGTCTCGGATTTTTCAGGCAAGTCTCTGTTGAGCTTTTCCTGAGTTTTAACTCCCACGTACCACTGAAGTGCAGGGCTAGGTTTTGAAAGTCATGTGGATGCCTAAATAGACTGAAAAATATATTCTGGGACTGTCAAAATAGCTGGGTGCTCCTTCCAAAAATCAACAGGCGATGCGTACCTAGGAACTTTGGAAAATCTCATCCTCAGATGAGCAATATTTTAAAGCTCTTAAATAACTTTTCTAGAAAACAGAGCATTCAAAAGTCCCAGAGCCTCACCTCAGGACCTCACTCACTGAGCAAACCTCCTCATTTCTGAGTGCTTCCATTCATCCTCTACAGCAACACTAAGGGTGCTGACCGCCAGGGCAGATGTGTTTTTCATTGACTGGTCTCAAAGTGCACTATACTGACCAGGTAATATTAGGAAGCTGGCCTTTTCAGAATAATCCAATTTGGCAGCAAGGCGAGCTTTTGAAGTTTCTAGAATGATTTCCATTGGCTTCAGTGGGCACTAACAAGACTTGTTAGACCTTGAAATGATAGACACCTTTGAAATACCTACATGTAAAGATACACAGAGATGTAACTGTGCCCATCTCTGTCTCAATTTCCTCATCTCTGAAATATGGATAAGAACAGCTACTTACCCATCTTTTAAAAAGACCTGATAATATTTAAAGTAATTGATGTGATGACTAATTAACTAATATTTGAATAGGGATTTGAAAAAGCACTACATAACTGCTAAGTACTATTATTAAATTAAGCCAACTGTCACTAATGGCAGACAATCTGATCTTGTTGACACAAGACCAATTACAAATAATGAGTTCTATAAAGTCTAGAATATGTCATACATGGAGAAATTAATGAAAATTAAGAGAAATAAGATGGTACATCATCATTCAATATTAAATTTATTTATTGGATTTCAGAATTATAATCAGCAATGCCTACAATAATTTCCCTTTCTCTGTATAGCACTGTATAGCTAAATAAACCACACACACCTCTTGCACTGGAAATAAGGTCTGGGTTGGCCTTGTGTCATTACACTCTTTCCTGATACTGTTAGCTCCTGCATCAGGACTCCCTGTTCATGGGTTCATGAAGCTCCAGTTAGGTTTGCTGCCTTTCCTACTCCAGCTGAGAGATTATTAAGAATCTCATTTTTAGTAACCTCCTAATTACAAACCTTATCCATTAATGACCACTCTATTTCTATTTGGCTTTTCCCAGACTACACCAGCAGCTCACAGTTATTCTGTAGTCAATTAGCATATCCAAATCTTTCTCTACCACATTCTTTCCCACCTCATGCTGCATGGGCTTGCAGGGACCAACAATTTCTACTAAAGGCAAAAGCCCTCAGCTATTAAACTTTCAGTTTGTTTCATCGCTCCTGCCCTCACACTCCCAGTATGGGAAGAACTGGACATTATCTCTACACTAACAATGACTCCTAGCCTTGTGTCAGCAGAGAATTTCATCAGCGGCTTCCAACCTACTACACCCAAGGCATTAATGAAAATGTTAAGTAAGATCAGTGCCAGGTTGGTCTGTGAGGATTTCCACTTAATAACCTTCCACTGAACTGGCAGAACCTGTGCCATCTCCCTGGTCCCTGCCCACCTTCTACCAGCTTCCTCAGTTTAAGAAGAAAGGTGTAGTCCATTTTTGCTATCCTAATGTTTCACTTCTGCCAGAGCAGTTCAGCAGACGAAATCTGAACATTTAAAGGTAGCCTACTTTATGCAGATATTTTTTGGCACGTTCAGGGAAAAATTCTAGTTTTCTCAGATTCCAGACTTACACAAAACAAGTATAGTACTCTACACTCAGCTTCAGAAATGTAGAGGTAAGTATAGGTCTCCATACACATTCAGTCAAATCATTACCTACAGTGTTTTCAGAAATTGTGGGGAATTGTTCCTTTTCAACTGTCTAAACAATCACTGGTGGTTTTCTGCTCTATTTTGACAGAACTGGTTTAACACATTCTTAAAAAAATACACAACTTACTGTTTTTGATCATCACAACAGTGTCATCAGCCTACCACAAATATTGTAATAAATAACTCTGCACCACAAAGAAACATGATCCTCTAAATGTTGAATCAACATATTTGCTAAAGAGGTGTGTATCGAGTCAAGTCATCTCGACATAAAACTGATCCCCCAGTGGGAAGTGAACAAACAAACAAGAAAGCTGAATGTCTTACCTTTGAAAAGCCAGCTAGCACAGTCCCATAGGCCCAGCTTTTCTCTAGCATATATCCCCTGCAAGGCAGCTGATGGAGTCACAGAGCTGCTCGAGCAAAGGGTCTGGTCTACAGGTCTTAGCAAGGGTGTTTGGAAGTCAATGCAGTGATCAGGGACCCTGCAACCCTTCCTGCCAAGCCAGGAGCAACCAGGCACTTCCTCCCCTCTTTTTTCTTCTTGTTTGCAAGGCCACACATAACTGCTTTCTCTCCTCTAGGAAGCTGGATGATTTTGTGATGGCAATTGGTCGTTCAGCCCGAGATCCTCCATATCAACAGCACACAGCCTGTCTCAGGAGGAACGCAGATAAAACTGCTCCGTTAGTGGAAATTTCCTCCTTGGTAATAAAAATCTCCTCCCTCAAGAAAAAGAATGTCCCCCCCTACACATTTTGCCTTACGGCAAAAATCAGCATCCTATTTTTCTAAGTCTTATCCTTTCCTTCCCAGAAAAACATTAAATCAGCCAAACAGCTCTTGCTGCCCCTCCACTGGACAGATGGAAAGTAACAATCAGAGGAAAAAATATAGAAAGAAAAGCATGACTGGTAAAAAAGAAGTGGTAGCATTGACCTCCTGGCTCGAGGGCAGCCTGGAAAGGAAGGCAGCTCAGAGTGGGAGGGAAGCAACAGAGGAAAAATAGCATGCATATGTGCGGGCACACATACAGATACAGATTTACAAAGGACTGCTGAGGAGGCGTCAGCCTCCCTATTGGCACCAGTTTGTGTGGCATGCATTCCTGCATCTTGTGGCACAGCCATGGCAGCAGGGCTTAGCTGCCCCCCACCCTATTCAGGAAATGGCATTGCCTGCCCTGAACAAGTATGTCAGCATCTACATGTTCATGTGGGTATTATAGGAGAACATGATATTACATGTGCTATTTTCAGTTAACATGAAATACTATGTATAAGCTTACATAAGGAACATGATCTGATCTCACATTTGTTCCATGTCTGCAGTTCCTAGAGACACTTGCATGCAGACAGACTCTAAAGATGTAAGCCTGATATGTCTTGGGGGAGGGGGAGTGAAGGAGGGAGGGAACACTACAAAGGAAAAAAAAAAAAAAAAGAAATAGAAAAAAAAGAAAAGTCATTAGAAAAAGTTTGTATTCTTTGCATTTACAAGGGCAGATGCCCTTACACCAGATACTGCTCTTTCAGCAGATCTTTGTGGGTGGAGATTTCATATCAACATGTCTGCCAGAGTTTCATCCAAGCCACAACATACAAAGACAACATTAATTAGCATTAATTATTATTTATAAGAGGTAATACTATCTGCATTGCTATCATTCACACTTATTTTTATGTCTTATATAGGGCTCATGTGCATGGTACCTTACTGCCCAAACAGACAGAACAAGGTCCCATGTGAATCTGCACACTAACACACAATATTGCCATCCTTAAGCCATTTTGAACAGATTTGTTAAAATTTACAAGATCCCCTTTTCTGTGCTCCCATGAACTTGCCTTCTACTTTCTGTTTATAGACAGGTCAAGATTCCTCTTCTTTTTTTCTTACCCTGCCCCAGCTATGAAGGAATAAAAAAGAAATCTTGCCGGTAAATCAAAGTTTTTTCTTTCTAATCAGAAAACCAGAAAAGAATCAACATAAGAACATCACCTCCCAAACCATTTGGAACCATCAAAATACAGCATTTCCAGTACAAAACTCTCAAATAGCCTTTTACACTCAACCAGAACATACTGGTTTCATATGAACAGAGAAAACATAATGGACACATTTATGTTAACTTTATTCCTCCATTCATTTTGTTGGCACAAGCAGAACCCTTCTCAGGCGCCTCTTTATTCTGGTTCAAATCTTGTCTCCCAACTCAGAATCATATTCTATGAACAGAGTTTTGTGTCAGCCAAGGGGGATGGTTTTGTTTAGTTCCCATAAAACTGAGAAAACTTGCAAATATTACACAATCCAATTCAAACAGTTAATTAGTCCAGATCGCTATTATTTCTAATATTGAAGTTACTAGTATTGTCAATAATAACTGCTTGTAAATAATCATTTGCATACCTTAAATTTAGCTGGAAGAACTTGTGAGCATTAGCAAATCCCATAATGAGCATGGTGCATATTCTCTTTTTAATGAATTCTGCCTCACTTCCAGTTTAAATAATATTTTTTACCACTTTGTTTCTTGCTTATTTTGTTGTTTGATGCAATAAACGCTAGCACAGGCACCAAGATTAGTGCAGAGAATCCAATTCAGACAGTCACTTTTGCATAGGCCACAGTTAATGAAACCACTTGAATACGTTAAAGTGAATTCACTTAGTCAATCAAGGCTTGTTGGAGAAACTATTAATAATCAGCTGGAACTGCTGAGTCAAAATTATGAATGAGATGGAAACACTGAGCGCATTTTACTTGCTCCCATTGCTTGTATCCTATTTGGGACTGTTGCAATCACAAATTATGCATAACTCTGAAATACTACATACTTTGACCAATATGAATTGCAACATTTTGCTGGGGAGTCACAACAGGTTGTGTCATACTGCATACACCTTTCAGTGAGAAGCATGAACAGAATTGAGTATGAAAATGATGGATTACCATTCACTATTGAAAGCCAACTTCCATCTGTATACATTTGTGATACATTTATTCCTATTGATATGTATATTTTATTTGCTTTAAGAGACAGGACTAGATATACTTCAATTGTCAGATACATAGGAAAACCAGCTTTAAAACTAGATATTGTTGGCCTATTTACAATTTTCCTTATTATTCACACATGCATCAGATTAATTTATTCCATACAGTATCTAATCAGAAAAGGACACCCATACCTTTTTTCTTATACAACTAGCAAGCATAAGCATTATAGCCATTATAAAGGCATTTTTGTTGTTGTTTTTTGGTCAAAATAAATCATAATTCATTTATATAATAGGTCACATGAGAACAACGTTCACAGCTCATGAGAAATAAATACATAAAAATTATTTTCAGAAACAAAGCATTATGATTTTTTTCACTCGTGTTTCTGGCTCTGAAATATCATACTCTTGGTTAGCATTTTCACATGAAAAGACAAGAGATGTAAAAATATTCTGTATGGAAAAAATATAATAAAAAAGATAATGAAAGTATGCTCTATGGAAAAAAAGTTTGATCTTTATTGTATTTTGTCATGGTTTAAACCCAGCCAGTAACTAAGTAATTACCATGCCATCATATTTATACCAACAGTCAAGCACCTCACTGGCATAAACAGACACACCTCTTTCAGCAACAGAGTTACAATCATATATGCTGGCAGTTATCTTCATCCAAAATGCAGGGAGACAGTTAAATATGAAGAAAGTATAAATTATTGTCCAGATCTTTAGCTAGCTCATCACACAACACTTCACTGAAGTTAATAATGCCATGCAATCTGATAACCTGTGCTATTATTCACAACCTAATTAAATTGTACACGGAAAGTTAACAGAAAGAGGTAACCAACCAATGTAACGCAAACAATGCAAAACTCACTGTGCAAGATTAAGCCACCTCTATTAAGCAACATATCACTAACAGTGGAAAGAACACTTTTGGAAAGCTCTCAGTGTCAATAAAGACATCCTTTATACTATTGATTATGCATGGCAACCATCAGGGCACGCAAAAATACATATTAACTCACCTTTTCCTGGAGCAAGCATTGACATTCTAGCATTTCATGGAAAGATGTTACAAAACAGTCCAATGTGAAATGTCCTGCACAAGTCATACGAGAAAGAGCAATAAGCAATTGGTAGCCAGGCAAAAAAAGAGGATAACTGAATGCTTGAGGTAGAACCTAGTGCGCAGCTTCTAAGCAGTAAAGAGTGAGGATCAACCCCTCTCACCTTATACAGTGGTTTGCTGCAGCCCACTATATGAAATTTTGCGTTAACTTTGGGATGAAGTTTGACTAACGACAAAAGTAGCTTCTCTTTACACAATTATCTTATGTAAACAACCTCCATTAAGCAGAGTATCTTGAACACCAAAAACTGGGATACCTCCATTTTAGGTGCTTCCTAAGAGGAGATAAGCATGCTGCAATTCACCTTAAATACTTTTAGAACTCTGTAATACATCCCAGGTGATCACCTGTAAGCCTTAGGCTTCCTTTCAGCTAACAGATATAGGCACTGCAAAATGCAAATCACTTCAGGTACTACAAGCACCTGCTTTGGGATGAGGTGATGACAATTCCCCGGTGTGACAACATATGCAAGCATTTACAACTTCAAGCAGCAAACCTGAGAATTCACTATCTGCAAAGCAGAATCTACATATTTAGGAACTGTTAAAGGTACAAATTTTCAATTCAAACTCAGTACTATGACTTCAGTTCACAGCTTTTCTTTTCTTCTTGCCTATGAATTTCTCTACCTTCTCAAAATAAAGCCACCCCCCTTAGTGCCATAACTTTCCAACTTTTAAATACCTTAGCCAACAGTTTTCTCGTGTCAGACTAAAATGGTGTTTACTAATATATATAATGTACGTATACTTAGGCTGTCAACAGATCTTACATCTGGAAGGGAAAACTCGCAACACACTGAGAAAGACAGTTTCCCTGCAGTGTTGTTGGGCAAAATTATTCAGCCTCACTGGAACAGAAACCCAGCCAACACATCCCCAAAAGTATACTGCTGAAGATACCAACATACCAACAGTGCTGCTCTTCCCTGTGAAGAACTGATGAGCGCGATAGCACCTTATCAAAGCTTCAAGATGTGAAATGTTATATCTTGAATTTGCAAAAAGGAGCCAGGACTTGGACTCAAGAAATGGCATGTTATTATCCACACTGTTTAACTAAGCCATAAGTTTCCCGACATGGGCTTTCCCCTATAACTTAGTACTTCCTCACACAACACTTAGGCATGGTTCAGGAGATAACATGGACAAAGGACAGCTCCCTCTAGACAGTACAGATAAGGTCACTTCTTTGAAAGGAAGAGAATATAGCCATATGGACACAAGCCCGCAGGGGCAAAGACTGGGTGCTGGCGTGTTTTATTTACTAGTGCTAAGATAGCCATAAAGACCGGATGGGACATTGTGGGCATCTTTAAGTGTAAGATTAAGATTGTATCTGCAAGACTCACCATACTAAGACCGTGATGTTTCAAATACTAATGAATACATTCATGCACAAGAGTAATTTTCTCAAATTAATTAGGATTACTCCTATGTATAAAAGTATGTCAGCGTAGGTGTTTGCAGAAGAGGTTTTGGAATGTCAGTCATCATA